CTCTCAAGAATAAAGCTCTCTCTTTGAACCCCAACTTATGGAAAGACTCCCTTAGAAAAATTGGCAAATGATTATCTTAAATGAATTGAGAGATGTTTAAATATAAGGCCCCAAAAACTCTAATTTTCAATTCAAACATCTTTGTTGTATAATATGATCTAAAGATCATAAAATACAATTAGTTTAATTATCCCTTAAGTAATGTGCAATAGCTATTTACCTATCTAATTAGTTAAAAGACTTTTAACAAATTGTCCAGTACATTCATAAGGTCGTGCAATACGATTAGTTCAATTGAATAATCATTTCATATTTGATGAAGCCTGGTAGTTAATTTCCACCCTGGTTGACGCTCAGTTCTTACAATATGAACCACACTTCGTATAATATGATCACTAATTTAACTTAATATATATATATATATATATATATATGCAATAATAACAAGTAAGAGAAACTAGATAAAGTACAATAATATTTGTTATCATAAAAACATGATCTCGAGCTCTCAGATTTCAATACTCTACCCCTTTAACCTCCATGAAAATACATAAACCCTACTCACTCTAACTAGATCCTCAAGACAAAAATATTTCTTTTAAGATCTCTACATTTTTTACAATAAGAATCAAGAAGCACTCCACAGAGAGATCTGAACTTGCAAATTAGAGGAATATAAGGATATGATTTGACAAAAAAAATGTATGGACGAACACAAAAATTTCTTCACGTAATTGAAATCTCGTAAGAATGAAAATTTATTACAAGTCTCTCAAATAGTTCCTCTCACAAATATCTTAAGAATCACTTGAATGTTTGTGAAAATATGATAAAATTCTATGAAAATCTCTCTCTCATATGGCTTGGTGAATAATATTTTTTTAAGTGGAAGTATTAGAAACCCTAAAAATTTAGATTATTGGGATGATTATGTTGTTTGTTTTACATTGCTAAGTAAGAATGTTAAACTTTTTCACGATGGCTAGGGTTTCTTTGCGACTCCTCCTTTGCTATGTGGCCGCCTTATGGGTAATCCTCTTTGTTTCTCCTTAATTTCTCTCAGTTTTTCTTTTTATTTTCTACCATGAACCATTCTTCGGTTGAAATGGCAGTTAATCTAGGTTTTTTTATGGTAAGTAGAAATCGTGCTCCATTAGGGAAGTTCTATTCGGGCTTCATTCCTGCCAAAATTTACTTACCTAAAAAACACCACTTGACATGGTTTACCATCTCTTTGGATTTATGTTGATGAAATGTTGGCTCTGGCATCTCCATTTGAGTTTGCTTTGGTGGGGTAATTCACTGGTTGTTGTTTGACACTGGATGTTATTCATAAAATTTTCTTCCAGCTTATGCTTACAGGAGATTTATATGTCACTTTGCTCAACTCTAAGAACATTTTAATTAAGTTATTGAATGAACTAGATTACTGTAGGGTTTTCTCTTATCATTCTTATTTTGCTAGCAATTTTTACATTAAGTTATTTAAATGGTCTCGACATTTTGATATTAGTATTGAATCTCATATCATCCCTATTTAGGTTTCCTTCCCAAAACTCTATCTGCATCTTTTCTCTCCTTGTGTGCTTCATAGGCTTTGGTCTCTGTTTGGCTGACCTTTGCGAATAGACAATGTTACCTCTAATGGCACAAGGCCTTCCGTTGCCCGTGTTCTTATTGAGTTAGATATTACCAAGTGATACCGTGACCAAGTTTGGTTTAGTTCTGAAACTATGGGCTATATTTAGCTGGTCAAAATGGAAGATTTTACTTATTATTGTTCTCATTGTAAAGTTTTCGTCATTCAAATATTGAATTTATTATTATACATGTTCATTTAGCTGATTATCCCGCCCCCTCTATTGCAAATGTGGAAAGTTTAGTTGAGCTTCCTAGGCATGATATTGCAAGTAATTTGGAGCCTATTCTTATAGGTGAGAAAACTCCTATTGAATCGTTGCATGAAAATATTGCTCCCATTGGTGAGGTGGGGTTGCCAGTTGGGCATGTGCTCTCGTACTCTGATGTGGTTGATCATGATCATGTGAATTGTGTTGATACTGAGGTTTTTTATGGTGCTTCTAACTTTTCAAATTTGGATTGTCCTGATGCTTTAGGTGATTGTGTTAATGAATGCTTTCAATCACCTAGGGGTGAAATTTCTCCTGTGGTTGTTAAACGTTTGAAGTAGGTGGATAAAAAATTATGTGATGTTAATGAGGAAGTGGTGAATGAACTGTCTAGTGGTTCAGTTCCTGTTGAATCACCCGAAACATCTATTGATCTGGCTTTGATGGCCTTGCCCATGGGTTAGGTTGGGATTGAATCTCTTGTTAATGATCATATTGCTATTATTTCATCTAATGCATTTAAAGCTCAATTGATTGCCACTCCGGGGTAGAGGTTCAAATTAACTGGCTTGATGAGTCCCATTCTTTGCCATGTGGGGATGAGGAGTAGAATATTTATGAGCAAGATGCTAAGTTCATGATTTGCATGATTTGAACGTGAGTCGTGTTACGTAAAATGATTTCTCATGTGTTGGTAAACATTGCATGAGGAAATCTAAAAAATTGTGAGTTTTTCTTTATTCATTTTATCCTTGATGGTTGTATTGTTTGGAGGTCTCTTTGGTAGGTGGTATTGCTGGGGTGGTTTCTTTATGTATTTTTTTTTCTGTGAGTTCTCGTGGGTTGGTTCTTTCTTATAGGCACATTGGATTGGTGGGCTGCTTTTATAGCCTATTTTTGTGCTTGCTTCTGTCTGGATCTTTTTTGCATGTCGTTGTAGTAGTTTTGTTGCTATAACTGATGTTGTTTTGTCATTCTGGATGCATGTCTTTGGATTTTTTGGAGTTTCTTTTTTATTGTTTAATCTTTTGTATTAGATTGGATCATTAGCTCGTAGGTTTTGATTCAAATATTATATTTTAGAGAGCCTTTGGTTCTTTGAGGATTTGTAATGCTATTTTTGATGGAACGCATAAGCCCTTCCGTGAATTTCTATATATATATAGTTTGATCTATTAGGTCTAACTATGCAATGTTGATTTGACATAATGATTAGTATATTTGTCTCTTCCGAGACTTTTAATTGATATGTATTATTTTGGATCATACTAACATGCTCTTTATTTATTTAAACTGTATGATTTGATTCATGTAGCATGATATTTTTGTGATTTAATTGTAAGACTTTTCATGGATTCTCAACACTTTGTTAAATGAATCTTAAAAAAAAAATGAACAATATAATCTGAATAATACAATATAATTTGTTCGAAATTAAAGTTATCTATTTAAGAAAAGAATGGATATCTATTTAAGAAAATAATAGATAACAATTTATTGAATCTTAATTATGATGAGTCAAATTGTCTAATCTTGGTCGTATAGTGCAATTAGTTATATAAATTTAATTTACAATACAAGTTAATTTATACAGCACAATATTTTGAATTACAAAAAAAGACATTATTAATTAATAGTACAATCCTAGTTTATGTAGTATGATCTGTAATAAATAAAGTATTTTTAACTAACTTAAAAATTCCATTTTTATTATATTATCTCTCATGTGTCTATGTTTAGTTGTTGCATAAATTATATGCCTGACACAATATAAGAAGACTCGAATAAAAAAAAAGTAATTGGTGATCTCCTTTTTGTTTAATAGTTTTCCTATTCCTATTTGGGTTAAATGTGCTTATAGAATTGCCATCAAAAGTGTATATCCAATACCATTTGTTGTTTATTTATTTATTTTTTATTTTCACGAAATGTTAGCTAAATAAGAAAATCTCCATATACAACTTCATCAGCACATTATCATAACAATCAACAGGAATTGCAATCATTAAAACTTTGTAATCTTACCTGACTCATGCGGTCTAGCATGTTTCACACTCAAGATAGTAGTAAACTTGATATGTTCAAAGCTATATTTTGCTCTATCTAATGCATGAAATCAAATTATTTATGATTTAACAAGCTGATATGTATGATCATCTAGATTGTGAATGTCCCATGTACAAGCCCTTCATTTTGGGTTTAATTAATCCCCCTTAAATAAGCATCAATCATAATTTAGGCTTAGTTTATTAGTTAGGTGTAATGGCCTTTCCTCTTGTAAAGCTACTTATTTGTGCTAGTTAGAGTCCTTAGGTATCTATTTTGAGAGTTAAAGTTAGCCAATTGAGTTTGGATCCAATCAATTGAGCCAATTTGGCTAGTTTGGTTTAATGGATCAAGACAGGCTAAGTATAGTTTTTCTCTTGTTCAGCTTGGATTTGAAGAACAATTTTATCAAGCCTATAGTTAATTTGGCTCAATTAAGATGTGTTGAACTCAATTGAATGATTTCTTATAATCAATTTGATTAAATTTAGGGTTTGAACTCAAATGTGCTAAGTAATTTCCATAGGATTTCAATTAGACTAAGTTGAGTCAACTAAGTTCAATTGGCTCAATCAAGTCAATGTAATTCAATTGATTTATAGTTAACTTATTTGATCAATTTTTAGAATAAGTTCAAAGCAATTTGATTAATTTATTTAATTTATTCCAAAGTGTTCAAATTGGGCCACATAGAGTCAAGTAAAATTAAAGACTAAATATAATAAGTTCATGGTTTAATTCGCCAAATCAGGAGGTCTAATGATTAATTATAACTAATTTAAATGTAATTCACTTGTTGAGAAAGATAATTGAATGCTTAGACCTCCAACTCCTCATTTAGCAAAACTAGACTCAAGTTATGAGCTAAACTAAAGATGGCTATGATCAAAAGAAGAGTTAAGTGTTAGTGTTTAAGAAATTAAAATTTTAAATGAAATGTTTATGTGTTAACAATATGTTAAATGATACAAGATTAAAATATGTTGCTTAGTAAATCTTTAAGAAGTGAAAACATAGAACACTATATCAAGAAATATAAAATAATTAAGTAATATACAATAAAAACATGTATTTATGGTAAAAAATTAGTATATTGTAAGCTCATACTAGATATAAAATATTAAGACAATAAAAATTATTTTATTATCAGAACATCCTTGCACAAAAATTCTTCCGTTCTAAACCAAAAAAAAAAAAGAAAAATTACGATTCACCAGTAATCTTTACATGAACAACTACCACTACTGAAGTGGTGGAAGCGTGTCTTATCTCTGACAACGATCAACCTTCTATAAATTCTTGAGATCAATTTTATTGCATTGTGGCAATCTAAACATATCCGCAGATTTTTAACGACTCTAATTGTCGCACCTGCTGGAGAACTAAGCAGTCCAAAAGCTATTGCCAACTTCTCACAGTGCTTGTAAACAGTATCTTCTTTTTCCTCTTCGGAAATGTCAATAAAAACCTCCGTGGTGTCTGGGGCATAACCATCAAGCATCAGATCCCTTCCCATCTCCTCCATTTTTTTATGAATCTCTTCAATCCTCGGATGAGTACAATCGCCTGCAACAAATTCATGTATGTTTCCATTTATTTCAATCAAACTACAGCCAGGAATCTTCTTTATACCTCTCTGCATCAGCATATCCTTCACCTTTCCCACTTCTTCCCACCTGTTGAGCTTTGCATAAAGGTTTGAAAGCAACACATACACAGCAGCATTATCTGGCTCAAGCTCCAGAATTTTGTTGGCAGCCAATTCCCCCATCTCAAGATTTTTATGTACTCGACAGGCAGCAAGCAGAGCACCCCACACACGAGAATTAGGCTTCATTGGCATGTTTGTTATTGTCTCCAATGCTTCCTTAAGCTGTCCAGCCCTCCCGAGGAGATCTACCAAGCAACCATAGTGACACACATTGGGAAATATTCCATGAGTGTTAATCATGCTCGAAAAGATTTCTCTGCCCTCCTCAATAAGTCTGGCATGGATGCATGCTGTTAGCACACCAATGAAGGTTACCTCATCTGGCCTTACCGATGTTCTTAGCATCCTCGTGAAAAGATCAAGAGCATGTTCTCCATGTCCATTAATAGCAAGGCCGGTTATCATTGTAGTCCATGTAAACTTATCCCTCTTTTGCATTTTCTCGAAGATGTCAAAAGCATTTTCAACGCATCCGCACTTGCAGTACAAATCTATCATAGCATTGTTCACAAAGATATCCATATTAACCTTGTATCGCTCCATGTATTCTCTTATCCACTCCCCAACCTCAAGTGCCCCTAAGTTTGCACAGGCAGTGAGCACACTGACCATTGTGAACTCATCTGGCCTCACACTAAAGGCTTGCATCTCTCGGAAGATCTCAAGCACCTCTTTAAAACGATTTGCCTTCATGTATCCATCAATCATGACCGTCCATGATATGATATCTCTTTCAGGCATTCGATTGAAAAGCTCTCGAGCTTGGTCAACCTGCCCAAGATTAGCTAACCCAGCAACCATTGCAGTCCATGATATCACATCCTTGGCTTCCATATTCTCGAATAAACTCCAGGCGGTCCTAATGTCACCACAGCCAGCGTACATATCAATCAATGCATTCTGCAAAGCTAAATTGGGCACTATCCGGCAATTTTCAATGTTTCTATGTATCCAAGCTCCGTATTCAAGCTTTTTAAGCTTGGCGCAAGCTGAAATCACCAAAACAAGAGTCACCATAGTGGGTTCCACTTGAAGTTCTTCCATCTCCGCAAAAAGTTTGCATGATTCCTCATATTTCTTGCTCCTGTTATAAGCAGAGATTATAGCATTCCACAACACCGAATTCTGCTTAGGACTTTTATCAAACAGCTCACGGGCGGCATCCATCTCACCGCTGATGGAGTAGACATGAATCAGAGCATCCTGAACGTGAGCATTGGTGCAAAAACCGAACTTAGTCACATGTGCATGGAGCCCACCACCGAATTCAATTGCCATCTGTCGATCGAATGCTTTGAGCAAGAAAGGGTAGGTATAGTTGTCCGGTCCTACGCCTCGGGCAAGCATTTCAATGTACAAAGACACGGCGGCTTCCGGGGAGCTATTGTTCGAGTAGCCCCGAATCATGGTGTTCCACATGAAGTTGTCCGGCTCAGGGATTTCGTCGAACAGAAGGCGGGCGTATCCCATATCGCCTTGGCCTTGGGTGCAACAGAAGGAAACCATGCGGTGCTGCTCCGCGAGGAAACCCGAAAGACCTGACCGGATGATTTGTGAGTGGAATTGCTTGAAATCCTCCATAGTTTTGCAATTATAAATCAAAGATATTAATGGAAGGGTTTGTAAATGAGGTTGGGCCTGGTTGGAGACAAGACAGTGATGGCTTGAAGGGAAAGGAAGAGATGAGAGAGATGCCATGACAAAAGTTGACATACGGAGACTACTGAAAAGAATTGATGGGAGAAGGAGCCGGATTAGGGTTCTGTTGAAATATAGAGTGCATGAGCACATTGGAGATGGGAACTTGAATAGTTTCAAAATTATCAGAAGACCTGAAAAAACCTTTGCAGAATCAGGACGCCAATTTTGTAAGTGAGATTCACGTGAGAGTTGAAATGTTGCATATAAAATTGTGAAAATCGGATCAAAAACTTAAACGGAAGAATGGCAGGTTTAAGTTTTAATAGTTGGATCGAGATTGAATCGATTAATATGATAAATATAAAAAATTATTTAAGTTTTATTTAAATGAAATAATAAGTGTATTCATGGGTAAAAAAAAATTGACTTGATCCAGCACAAATCTCAAGGCAAATATTGAAAACTTTCAAAATTAAATTTCGAACGGTTTGAACTCTCATTTCATCAAATTTATAGTCAAAATAAACATCTCAAAGAGATAAACCCAACGAAATTAGCATGAACCGAGCACAAATGGGTCCAAATATTCACGTAATCGTGTGCAGATATAAGTAAATCGCTATGATGAAAACTTTACCATTCTACCTCTGTGAATTTTCACGTATTCGTGTGCTCAACGAAAGCCCTCCTTCAATGACCAACATGCAAAGCAATCACAACAATGGAGCCTCTTGCTCTTACTCACATCAATCTAGGAATTAGTTTACGAATCAAGGATGTCAAGTTTCTGCTTCATTCTTTTCCAGCGGAAGAAATCCGGTTGGGGAAAGAACATCAAGGATATCACTAGAAGAACACATCAAAAAAAATGGAGGAATCTCAAAATTAAATTCGTCAACTTCGATGAGGCACTCGCCAACTAGCGCTAGAGAAATAAGAAGAGACCGTCTCCATCGAGATCTATGACTGACCAAGGATGTTAAACCTAAGCATGTTCGTGCAGAAATATGTCTCCCTTAGTCAAGGGGTCGCCCCCCTATCACAACAAGACCTTGAACTCATTGCCACAACAAACTCTACCCATCCCTCTCGCACATGTCGGCCAACCTCATCCCTCAAGTTATCGTCAAGGACTTGGCTTCACCTCATAGTGCTTAAATCCCGCATAAAACTTTATGTGATGATTGGTCCGAAAAGAATTCTCTATAAGAGGTGTAAGACGACATATGCATCATGAAGACTTTCTAGAGTCATCTCCCATAACTAAAGTCATCCTTCAATAACCCATTCTTGCGGGCTTTAAATTAATCATCATAGACCCTTACAAGTATATCTTTCAATATAGAACCATTATATATATTCAATGAGCCTCAAATTTTCTCCTATGCCAAGTATTTCCTACTACGCTGAAAGGGTAAGCCCGTATGTGCTTTGACTCATATTTGACTATAACTATTCCCATATTCATAAAGTTGGCCAAATTGTTTGTTAAATAAATTTTTATTAATAAAAGAATTGTTAATAAGTGTCCCCATTTCTTTGGAATTCGCCAGAATAAAGGTGAGTCATACAAAGGATACTTCAGAAATTTTTTCGTTGAGGCTTGGTAAGTTCTAGAGGCGGATCTCGAGTTGCTAAGAGGGGTTTTCCACGAAGGGCTTCATCTTAGACCATTTTACTCGGCACTAATGCGAGATACAGTACACTCATTTGCTGAACTAATTCAATGTATAGAGGCACAGTCTTTGTAGATGAAGCCATGAATACTCAAATGAAGTAATTTAAGCAAACACCTATGAAGCACATAAATGCAATAAGAATGGATGATTCATTATAATAGTGGAATAAGTAGGGGGTAATAACCTTCTCCCTCAACCTTCACAGTCCAAACAGGAGCCTCAACCAGAGAGGGAGTATACACCTCTCAATTTTTAACGAATAAATGTCCTAATGACCATCTAAGATGAAGAAAATGTTAAGTGGATGTATTATTCTACTCATGTTTCATTGTAAAAAGGATATTTGTTGATAATGAGAGCTCGATGGATGTCTTATTCTACTTTAGGTTATTTCTTAGTATGGGCCTGATTACAGAAAAGCTTCAGCCCATAGTAGAACCAATATATGTATTTGATAATCAATCTATATGGGTAAAAGGGATGATTAGCCTCACAATCATACTTGGAGAATTTCCTAAGAAGGTTACTTATCTAATTGAATTCATTGTAGTGAAATTAAAATCAGTTTATAATTTTATCTTTGGGAGACCACTATAGTCAATTTTTGGAGTTGTTTCCTTTATTACATATCTTGATGTTTTTAACCCCATATAGGATTGGTATGGTGCATAGGAAATCAACAAGTTGCCTAATTGTGTTACCTTAAATAGGCATAACCATGCCCATAATTTACTCTAAGCATTAAGAATTTTGATATCCGAAATGAGGGTATCTTTTAGAGGCCTTCTCCTCTAGAAGAAGTTATATATATCTCCTTATCAGATGAGAACCCTTTAAGAATAATTCAGGTTGGATCTTTGATCATAGAGTAAGATAGAAGGGAACACATAAATTTGTTGTGTATAAACTAAGACATCATCACATGGAGTCTAATGGGTATGCATGGAGTTGCTCTGAGATAATCATACATTTCCTCAAAAAAAAAAAACCAAAAAATGTAAGCCAATTACCTAGAAAAAGAGAAATTGTGTGCCAGATCATCAATAAGCCATCGAAGAGGAAGTTGATAAACTCTTAAAAGCTTGATTTATACAAGAGGTACAATATTTTGCATGGCTAGCAATTATCAACATTGTTAAGAAAGCTAACAGAGCTTGGATGATGTGTGTAGACTACATGGACCTCAATAAAATATGCTTTAAGAATTATTTTTTGCTCCCTTATATTAACCAATTGCTCAATGCTGTTGCAAATTCAGGTCTATGAACTATGTTTTGATGATTGGCAAACACTCTTACTTGACTTTGACTGTCTTTTACTACTGACTTTTCAGGAATCAAAGATCGGATGGAAAAGCGAAGCCAGCTCAAGATGGGGTAAATTAGAGTTGAGTTAGTGTGTAATTTTATTTTTCCCCTCTTGAGTCAATTGTAATCTTTGGTGTGACTAATGCAAAGTAACCCTACACACACACACACACACTTGAGAGACTTAGAATTTTTATTTTTACTCAAATCAGTTAGGACGATATTTACATCGTCCTGGACGATCGGGCTTAAAACAGAAAATCTAATCAGGGGTTCTTAATTAAGGCAACCATCATTAGCCAATCGGCTTAGACGATACGTGTATTGGCCAGGACGATAGGATCAAAATAGAAAAAAATTGCCACCATAAACAATTAATGTATTATGTATTTTTTGGTAATCGGCCAGGACGATCTTTGATTGGCCTGGACGATATTCACAATTATGCCTTAATTGATCAGACAATCAAGGATGTAATTAAGGATGGTTGATACGATCATATCGTCCTAGACGATCACAAGATTGGCCAGGATGATCTATTCATAAACCTTAGTTACTTCTGGACGATAAATATCGGCCAGCACAAATTTAGGGCGATGTGCTGGACGATCGGGATCGGACATATTGAATTCAGAGAGATGCCCTAGACGATTTTCTTTTGATTTGAACTGATCAGCCTGGACGATCGTGAGATCGGCTTGGACGATCAAGCCAATTTTCAATCGTCTAGTTTGCATTCAGGGCAATGCTCTAGCAGATCTTATAGGATTTGTACTGATCGGCCATGACGATTTCCATATCATCCTGGACGATAATGTCGGCAACTTGGAATTAATGAGCTCCTTTGAAGCTCTTCAATTTAAGAGCTCTTGTTCAATATTTTTGAACATCTTTTACTGCTGCCTTGACCTAAGAAGAACTTGAGGAGAGAAAGAGAGAGAGAGAGAGAGAGTTCAACATTTTTGATGATCTTTTGCTGCTGCCTTGACCTGAGAAGACCTTGAGGAGAGAGAGAGAGAGAGAGAGGATCTTATGAGGGGAAGCTTGTGAGGGGATTCACAAGAGTTTCTTCAAGGATCGCTCTGCTTCTTCTTCGTCTAGAGTTTCTCGTCTGTGGAAGGGTCGGTAGAGGTAAAGATTCAGCAACTAATAGTGGTTCTCTGCCAGCTTCAGGAGGAAGCAAAAGGAGATAGGTTCTATGCCTTGCCGGGGTGGTAAAAAGAGGTTCTTTGTAAAGGCTTCTTCGCCTAGCTATGGGGGCTAAAAAATAGTCACGATAGTAGTGCAATACTCAGAGGGAGCCTCTGGGGAGTGGACGCAGGTCGAGTTGACCAAACCACTATAAATTTATGTTTTATTTTTTCTTGCTTCCACAGTTTAATTTCCGCACTTATTTTTCTTATGGTGTGATTTTGGTTTATGTAATTTTACTTCTTTGTGAAAAGAATTTTTAAAATACCAATTCACTCCCCCCCTCCCTTCGGTTAGCTTGTCCAGTTCTATAGGGCTTAACATCCTTAACGAACTTTCAAGTGGTATTAGAGCCACTTTCATAAAATAAGTTTTTAAAAGCTTTTCAAACTGATCCATGGCTAACTTTAGGAATTGAAACACTACTGAAGGTTATTCAATTACACGACCTCCATTGTTTGACAACTTACCTTTTGATTTCTGGAAAATCCGCATGTCAACCTTTTTACAATCAACTGATTATCGTATGTGGATGCTTATCAAAGAAGGTTATTCTCCACGTTCTCATGAAATTAATGGTGTTAAAACTGAAGTTGCTTTTACTGAATGAACTTTCGATGAAAGAGATTTAGCCCAATTGATTGCAAAATGTTTGAACTGTTTTTTATGTGCTTTAAAATTTGAGGATTACATACGTGTTTCTACTTGTTCAACTTGTAAAGAGATTTGGGATAGGTTATGTATCACTTATGAAGAACCAATGAAGTGAAATAATCTCGTTTGAATATTCTCTTGCATGACTACGAACCTTTTCGTATGAAACTATCTAAATCTATTTCTAACATGTATACTAGGTTTATTCAGATAGTTACTTCACAGCATGCATTAAGAATAGAACTTTCAAACTTTAAAAAAGTAAACAAGATTTTACGATGCTTTCCTTCCTCTTTTAATGCAAAAATTACTGCTATAATTGAATCTAAGGATTTGAACATGTATTTGATTGACAACTTACTTGGCTCATTCATTGCTTACGAGCAAGGGGTGAATCAAAGAAATCTTGATGCAGGTTAGAAAAAGAAAGAGAAAATGGTGGCACTGAAGGCACACAACTCAGATTCTGAATCTTCCGGGTCTAAA